TTCCCGTCAAGCTGACCGCAGAGCTGATCCAGCAAGCGGCAGCGCTGACCTATCAACGATTGCTTGAAGCGGACGAGGCAGCGAGAACGGCCGGCCTGAGCGCATCGGAAATGGCATCGCAGTCCTTTGCCCTGGAACTTGAGGCGAAGAAGCTGCGGGACGCCTACGCATCCGGTGACACCCATCCGGTCGAGGGCATCCTTCCGGGCTGGCTCCAAAAGCTCGGCATCGAGGTGAGTGCGGCGGACCCACTCAGGCCCACTTTGGTCCGCGAGCTGGTGAAGGCTCGCCTGCGCGTCATACAGGCCCGCCAAGCCCGCCATGTGGGCGACCTGGTGGATACCCCGCCACTGCCCGCCTTGCACGCTCTGGAGGCTCTTCACGATGCGGCGGGGTCAGATCTTGCGCCAGCCGACAAGCCAGCCCACTTGTTGACCCTCCGGGATGTCTTTGAACTGTGGAAGGCCAAGAGCGAGAAGCCCTCCAACAAAGCCATAGACACGGCCCTCCGCGTTGTGCAAGCGTTCGAGGAGGTCACGGGCAACCCACCGTTGCAGCGGCTGACTTGGAAGGAAGGCTTGAAGCTGCGCGACCACTTCCTGGCTCAAGGCATGTCCCCTCGGACCACCAAGGACCGCATTGGCTGGGTCTCCACCCTGATCCGCTACGAGATGAGCGAGTGCCGCCGCATTCAAGCGGACCCGTGGGCAAGCATCAAGGTCGAGAAGGGAGACCAGGCGGTCACGGTCAGAAAGGCCACCAGGGCTGGCGAGCTGGCCTCCCTGTTCTCGCTGCCGCTGTTTGAGCAGTACGACCTCCCGGACGCCAAGAACGCCGGACGCGATGCGGCCTACTGGGTGCCCGTGCTGGGGGTCTACACGGGCGCTCGCATCACCGAGCTGGCGCAACTGCTGGTGGCTGACGTCTTGCTAAAAGCTGGGCTGTGGCGCATTGCCTTCCGGGTGACCTATCCGGAGTGGCAGTCCCTGAAGAACAAGCCCAGTGAACGCGAGGTGCCGCTACATCCGGAGCTGGTCCGGCTGGGCTTTCTGGACTATTGCCAAGCCATGCGCGATGCCGGCCACGAGCGCCTATTCCCACTGGTTCCAGTTAGCGAGACGAACAAGGCGGGCGGGGCTCTGTCCAAGTGGTTCTCCGAGCTGAAGTCGGTGGCCGGTTGGGGAAAAGAGCACACCTTCCACTCTTTCCGGCATGGCGTCGAGACCGCGCTGAAACGGGCCAAAGAGCCGAAGTCCCACATTGACCGCTACACGGGCCACGCGGGGGACTCAGTGGCTGACCGCGACTACACCCACTTGGAGCCTGAGGACCTTGTCGAAACCGTCGATAAGGTTAGCCCTGAAGGGCTGGATCTGGTCCGCGTGTTCCCCCCTCCAGGGTGGAGCGCACCAGCCGCCGCCGGGTTGCTCAGGGCCAAGAGCCGGAAATCACGGGCTTAGGCGGCACATCGAACCAAGCCCCTATGCCGCCCACCCTTCGCGCCCTTTCGCGCAAATCCATTTCCTGCACGGAGCTGGCCGACCTTCTGGAACGGCACGGCGGGCCGGACCTGAGTCCTTTCCACTGCCAACAGGCGTTGGATGCGCTTGCGCGTGTTCGTGACTGCGACCTGCGCGTGAAGCTGCAGAGGATTGCCTGTGTCACCTCAGCCCTGTTGGACTGCGGCCCTTCCGAAACTTTGCGGACGATCATCAACGCGCTGCGCTCGCCTGACATTCTGCGGTGAGGTGGCGGCTACTCGGCAGAAAAATGTCAGAGGGCCTCTTATATACACAGAGGCCCCCTTCCCCCCTTACCCCCCTCCAACTCCATTGCGCGGAACGGGCTCCGAAAGCCGTCAAGGAAAGCACTCGGGCGACGGCCATAGCCTGCGAAGGCCACCAAACGGCCGGAGAGGAGCAAACACCAGCGGGCGACGGGTCGGATAGGCTGCCTCCCGGCAAGCCTCCAGCAGCGGCGCGCTGTGCCCATCCGCGCACAACTCGTCCCGCTTGTCAGACTATCCCGTTATGCGGACGATTGGACCGTTAGCACGCGCCGGGCATCACACCTAACGTGTCCATCCCAACAGTCGCGGGCTGGTCCCGGGGGCCCCCTGGCGGCACAGTCCGGTCCCGCCGCACGCTGCGCTGCCGGATTGGAGAGGACCCCGCAACGGTGACCAGCGAGCAGCGCGGACCTGTATGGCGCTGACCATCGGCACGCAGACCCTCAACCTGTTCCACCGCTTCACCGGTACCGGGCGCTCGCCGGGGGCACCGGGATGCTTACCTGCTGATGCCTTGGTGGCTGATGCTGGAGTGGCGCGACTGGCGCCTTGAGGTCCACCACCGGGAGGGCGGATGGCTGGCGAAGGCCCCGGCTGGCCTACCGAGGGTGCAGCCGGATCACCCCTATTGGGGCCTACGTGCAGAGCAGGTCGGCCCTTGAAGGGCCCTAAACGCCGACCTTCGCACAACTCACCACAACGCTGCCCTGGGCCTGCCGGCCTGGAGCTTCTCTCCCTTCGTCAGGCAGCGGCTGCCGCGTACCGCTTCACCGTGGCGACCGATACGCCGAACTGCTGGGCGGTGGCCGCGATGCTGGCCCCGTTGGCCTTGCGCCAGGCGACCACCTCTGCGGGCTTCACCTTCCGACCCTCGGACAACCGCCCCACGGGCCGGCCCATGCTGACCTTCCCTCGATGGGTCTTGCCGGTGCGCTCCAGGGACTCCCGGGCCACCAACCGGCCGGCCTCCGTGCGTTCCTTGATCCGCTGTCGCTCCATGTCGGCCACCTGGGCCAGCACGGCCAGGATGATTTCTCCAGCGCCCCGGGAGATAGTGCCAAGGCCCTTCACTTCGACCGCTACACCCTTGTCAATCAGGGCCCGAACAGTGGCCTGCACGTCGATGGCATCGCGGCCCAGGCGGTCAACGGCGTATACGTGCAGCATGTCCCCCTCACGGGCGAACTTCAGCAACTCGGCGAAGCCAGGCCGCTGTGCCGCGGGGACGGCACCGCTGACCCCTTCGTCGGAGAACTCTCGGGCGAACCCGCCTGGGCCGGCCTTCTCCAACAACGCCCGCCGCTGCGCCTCGGTGGATTGGTCCATGGTGCTGACACGGTAGTAAGCGAGATGGGTCACGATGGCGGCTCAGAAGTTAATGGCGAAATTGTGAGCCGGCTCAATTTGCGCGTCAAGTATCTTTTGAGCCATGCCAACGGCGGGCTTTGGGGGTAGCGCACAAGGCACACCTTGTGAGCCAGCGATGCCGCGGTGTCAGGATGCCATCTTGACGCCAGTGGTGGAAATGAGGCGCCACATGGCCATGGTCTTTGCGGTCCTGCTTGGAGCCTCGGGCGTCATGCCGAGGAACAGTCCCCTCATCCCATCGGTAAGCCGCCCGAGGAACGGGAGAGTGAACTGCAGTGGCAGCGCCATCAGCCGCAACGATTCAGGCTCACCGGCTCGGAATTGAAACATCTGCCTGACGGCGAAGGGATAGGCATGTACGTACTGCGAGAGCTGCATCGTTACGGCCGTGTAGTACTCATAGTCCACGCCGGCTGCAACGCAGATTTCCTTCTTGCTAAGGTGATACGGCGGCGGGTCGCCAGCATTGATTTTTTGCTTCAGGTCGCTGCGGAGGGTCTCGAACACAGGGTGCGACTGCAGTTTCGCCTGCCCCTCGGCAGCTTCCTTCAGCATCACATCGAGGCGCGCATCAGTGGAGCCGATAGCCTTCAGCATGCGTATCCGGCGCGTTTTGTCGTGCGCTTCCCAAAGGATCAATCGGAACGAAGCCTCATCCTCTGAGCAGCCGCCTGCGGAGATGTACGCGAACGCGTCGTGTGCATCGATCACGCATCGCGCGATTGCGCTGATTGAAGGAACATCCCACAGCTCGTTGGGCCGCTGTCGCTTCGGGTCAGGCGCAAGCTGTCTCATGACCAGACAGTGCGACAGCGCCTTGACGAAAATCTGCTCGGCATAGGTAGCGTTCGCCGACGGGGGCGTTCGACCTACCAATGCCCCTGACACCGCGCGGGCATGTTCGAGCACGGCATCGAACTGCCTAAGCTCCTCGCGGTACTTCTCCCAGACGTCAGGTTTTCCAGTCACGCCAGCGGCGCACAACGGGCGCTGAATGGTTGCAACGGGCGAAGCGGCGCCCGCTTGTCGGAAGTTTAGGGCCGGCCCAGGACTGACGGGGGTCTAAACCCCGAACTTCGCTAAACCCTCCCCTTCGCTATTGAGCCGCACACCACGCGGCTGGCTTTGCCGTGCCTGTTTCTGCAGCGCACTTCCCTTTTTGCTCGCGAGTCCGGCGGCAGTCAACACGTCAACCACCACCATCATGCTCATCACCAACGCAAACCACCTTCAAGCCCGCATGCTGCTCCTCAAGGGGACCTCCAAGAAGACGGCGGCTCACCTGGACTTCGCCTCACTGGCCGCCCTCCAATACGCCCAGGCTTGGGCAGCCAACAGGACGGAGCGCAAGGCGCCCCAGTCGTTGATCCTGCGGCGTGCCCTCGCGGTCTACGCTGCCCACTTGGAGACGATTGCCCGCGCCGAGCCGACCGCCCCCGGCCACATCGGTGAACCCTTCGCGCCTCAAACGCGGAATGAGGCCCGCGCCCTGGAGTCGGCCGGCAAGGGCCGCGGGGCCCTGCATCCGGTCAGCGACCTCGTGACCGAAAGCGAAGCTCAGGACGAGGCAATGCACCGCCTCGGCGAACTGTTGGCGCTGCCCGCGGAGGCGCCCTGGCCGTCGTTCGGCGAGGTCCTCTATGGCCCTGATGTGGTTGCCCGCAGCCGTGCCGAGTACCTGGCCGGCGAGGCTCGGGTGGCGGCTCTCCTTGGGGGCATCGCCAGGGTGCCGAAGGGGCGCTTGATGGGGCTTGGGAAGGCTCTGGCCGCTGAGGCATGGCAAAACGGCCCGAGGACCCCTTGAGGCCCCCAACAAGCCGCCCGAATGGCCCGGCCGCTGGATTCCTTGCCGGCTACCTCACAGTCTCTGAAGCCTGCGCCGACCTTCCTTGGCTCGATGACATCCTCTCCGGCGCGCTGGCTCTGCGCACCGAGGGCGACTCCAGCACCCGCAGCCTGTCCCGCCGGCTTCTCTTCCGAATCCTCCAGCGGTTCGATGTCATCACGACCGGCAACATCGCCGGGGACCTCGGGGGCCACTACAGCACGTGCACGGTCGAGCGTTATGCAGCGTTGGCGCGAGTGGCCTCCCGTGCCATCGAGGCGCGGATAACGGCTACCGGGGAGAGGCGGCCTCAGACCCTGCGGGAAGCCCGCGAGGAATTGGACGAAGCGTTTCGCCTTGACGCTGAGGCAGCCGAGGTGGCATCAATCGCGTGGCCGGGGGTGACTCAGCCCACTGCCCACCCGACTGACCCACTTTGCGACGTGGCCACCGGCAAACGACCATCGCTGCCGAGAGGGCGCCGGGCAGCCCTAAGCAGTCTCATCGGCTGGGACGAGTTTCCGTAACCTAAAGAAGGTGGGGGAACCGGCGGTCCTTGAGGTGTTCAGCAGAGGCCCGTCTACATAGACGCGACCTGCTGGCCTGCCTCATGCGGCTGGCGCCGCTGACGACCACCCAGGATTGATTTCCCCGCGGTCGCTGTCCCGTCCCGACAGCTTGAGGTCTCCCAGGCAAGGCCTGACGCCTCCTCGCTCCGCGAGCCTCCGTTCAGGAGCTCCGCCTGCCCACCTCAAGGCCCAGACCTCACCGCTGCGAACTACTTCCACGCCTGTCTGCCTGGGAGGTCGCAATCCATTTCCGTCCCATCCCTGTCCGCCCCCTTCAAGTCTCCCCGACTGCCCGGTCGCCTGCCTCGGCCCGCCCTTCTTTCGTCCGCCCACCCTTATCCCAACCGCCATGCTTCAAACCTGCATCGTCCCTAACTGCAACAGCCAACGCATCGGCCGGTCTAACAAATGCGGGGCCCACCGGCTGGCCCTCCGTCGCCACGGGCATCCCCTACAGAGCAGCATCAAGGCCCCCGAGGTCGAGCCCTACCGGGCCGCAGTCCGTGCCCTTTGGAAGGCCAACCCGGATGCCTCCCTGTGGACCGTCATGCAGGCCCGCTGGGGCCGCTGCTGTGACCATGCGCGGTCATTTGCCGACCAATGCAGCCGAGGGGTACCCTTTAACCGCCACGAGCTGAAAGCGGCGGAGTCCCTGCTGGCTCTGCAAGCGGGCGTCGAGTGGCAGACGCTGGCCTGCACGGGCCTGGGCCTCTACCTCTATGCCGCAGACCGCCCGCACCGCTTTGCCGATGACGAGGCTATCCGCTTCCAGTTGGTCCGCAAGGTGCGGGGGCTGGATGAGCTGGCAGTCGGAACAACGTGGAACCACAAGACCAAGAGCATGCACAAGGTCTACCGGGACATGGCGCCTCGGGCTGTTCGCTTCCTGGCCGACTATCTTCAGGTCGTCTTTGCAGAGGCCGCGCTGCTGTTGCGAGACCACCCCAAGCTCAAGCCGGCGCCCCGCCTGGAGGTCTCCGAGGCCAAGCTCATGGCGGACTCTGTGCGGTCGATGCGATGAGCAGCCACGAGCGGGTTCCGCCTGCGTCCCGACAAGAGGCGCGCGCCCTAGGCCTGAAGGTCTACGAAAGCAGGCGGCATTGCCGCTTCGGTCACGGGGCCACCCGCACTGTGGGCCGGGGCCAATGCGTGGAGTGCATGGAAGCCAGCCGGCGGGAGCGTGACCGCATCCGGTCCACGACAGCAGCAGCCCTCAAGGCGCAGCTACGGGAACAGGTCCTGCGGGAGCTGGCCCGCGAGCAGCAGCGCCGAGCTAAGGCAGAAGCTAAGAGGCTAGCCCGCGAGCTGTCAGCGGCAGAGAAGCCGCGCGCCCGTGAGGTGGCCGAGCTGGCCGCGCTGGAGGCTCTCCTGGAGCCCGAGAAGGCCGCAGCCGTCGCCAGCCGCAAGAAGGCCGCCAGCGCCCGCGCAAGGGCCGCCAAACAGACCGAGGCAGACGACCGGCACAAGACAGCCCAGGCCGCAGCACAGGACCGCCTCCATGCCAGCGCGGCCAGGCGGCCCAGGCCGGGCACTTCGACTGTCCTCCGGCAAGACCAACAAGCCCACGACGAAGCACCTCCGTGGGAATGAGACCCACCCGCGACGTCCCGCCCACCGCAATCCTTCCGGCGTTGCGTGACCCGCGCAGAAAACAGAAAAGGCCCGGAAGGGCCTCTGGGTTACGCGCGCTTTTTCCGCGCAACGGGCTTGCCCAGCCGCGGTGGGCTGAATCCCACCTGCAGCACCTTGTCGAGCAGCGGCAGGGCCTGCGGGTCACGGTCCTTGAAGTAGCCGGCCGCCCGTTGAGGCATCCAGACCGTGCTGATGAACTGCCGGAAAGAGCCCAAGTGCTCGACTGGGTACAGCTTTGCATCGACCACGCGCCCGTCGGGAAACTCGTGCTGATATGTAGGCAACGCATCGGTGTCCAGCCCGAGACTCTCACGCGCGAACTTGCAGAACATGCGCCCCTGCGAGATGTCCGGCACCATGCTTTCAGGCAGCGTGTAGCCCTGCACCTCAAGCGGCGCGATGAGGGTTGTAGTCATCTCCTGCAAGATTGAGAAGTGTGTGTGCGGCACCTTACCCACGTTCTGCATGTGCCGCTGCAAGTGATACGGCAACTGCGCCGACCTCGGCCGCACGCCGCCGTTCATCCAGGCGTAAACCCAGTCGGCGACCTTGACGGCAAACTCGCCCGACAGCCACTGACCCAAGTTGATGGCCACCTTCGGGTGCACCCAGACGTTTACTTGTCCGTCTCCAGCGGTCACCGTGGGGTAGAGCTTGGGCACTTCAAGGCCCTCGCTCTTGGACAACGCGCGCAGGAATCTGCCGTTAGCTTCCTCCCGAACGTACTGGTCCCACCTCCTGCCAGCAGCCTGGCAGAGTTGGGTGGCGTTGATGTACCCGTCCGAGCCGCGTTGCTCGATGATGGACGAGGCGAGTTGATGCTGAATCAAGTCCAGCGAATATTGATGGCTTGGCATGGTTCTCCTATAAAGCCAAGCGCAGACGACCTATGAGACAGAGGCTAAAAACCTGTTTTTGTAAACAGCTTTACTTCGCTAACCGTACACATTAGAATCGCTGACGCACTGCACAATAACAACAGAGGCTCACGACTGGCATCGATGACCCTCTGCACTTACTCACACGTCACCCGACTCATCTAGTAGATGGTGTCGGGTTTTTGTGGCCGTGACATTGTGCCACGTAGGCACGCGCTTTGCCAGCGCGCGAACCCTTGCTTTCCGCCCAACGTCACCTTTTTTGGGCGGGCACCGTTCCGCCCCCCCTCCGGCGCAGGGCGAAGCGCTACTATCTGCCCATCCAAACTGTGTAAGCACACTGTGTAGGCACTGGCAGCATTTCGGCGCCTTCTCCTATGAGAAAGGGGCAGGTGGCTAGATCCTCCTCCTCTCCACCACGCTTCACGTTCAACAGCCCCGTCAGGGGCTGTTTTCGTTGGTGCCGCCGCGCCAGCCTCGCCGCGTGCCCTGGCTCTAGGGCACCGGCTTCACGTCGAAACGCAAGGCCAACAGCCGGACGCCCTCTTCGAGGCAGGCTCGCAGCCCCTCGTCGAGGCTGTCCTTGCGGCCGCTGGTGTGCGCGACCTCGGGCGTGTAGACGCTGGCCATCTTGCCGCGCTCGGCCATCACGCGGCTGGCCAGGGCGCCCACGCCGGACACGCTCAGCTGCGAGGCGGCCAGCTTGCGCCGCACGTTCACGGCATCCACGACATCGCCGGTGGCGGCGTCGACGATGGAGATGTCCACGCCCAGGGTGTCCTTGTTGCCGGATCCGCCGAGCTGCAGGCCGGCAACGTTGACGCCCGTGGACGATCCACTCGCGCTGGCGGTGATCTCCGTGATCTCGGCCTGGAAGATGTACTCCGCCCCACGCAGCGGCTGCTGCGCAACGGTGCCGGTGGTCTGGCCGGCGGCATTCATCTGCTTCTCGGCGACGACACCCCGCGCCAGCTTGGCGCGCTCCACGACCCGGAACTGCCCGGACTTCACCAGCGCCGTCTTGAACATCTCGGTCGCCCCGCGTGAGGGCAGCTCCATCAGGTTGCTGCCCACCTCGTAGACGGCGACGGCCACGCGCTGCTCCGGGCTCTTGCGCGGCAGCTTGCGCAGGGCTTGGCTGGTGCTGGACTTGTCTTCTCGCACGCCCGGGTTCGCGCACCCGGCGAGCGCCGCCAGCGCGAGCGTCAGGGCGCCCGTCAACGCGACGCGGCGAGCGGGGCAGAAGGGAGCCTGGGCAGGGAAGCGAGTTCGCATGATGGCGGGGTCCTTGAAGCGGGCGACGGTGGATGACTCGACACGCCAACGCCGGCAGCCGCTCAAACCGGACATGGGCCTAGATCGGCGCCTTCACGTCGCCATAGCTCGTCGTGGCCTTCACGGCGGCGCTGTCCTCGCGGTAGGGCAGGCCGTCCTGCGTGCCCACCCAGACCCGCGCCGCGACGACACCGACCGCCGGGTCCTTGACGGAGAAGCTGAACACCTGCGCCGGCTTGCCATCCACGGCCTCGATGCCGCCGCGCTCGCAGCTGACGATGGTCTTCTCGGCCGCGACCACTGCATTGCGCAGTTCCTGCACGCTGAACGACGCCACCGACCACGGCTCGCTGCCCATGCGCTGGTACAGCTTGCCGCCGGCCTTGATGACTTCCAGGCTCGTGCCCGAGAAGCGCTTGATGGACCGGAACGCGGGGGCCTCGATCTGCTTGAGATTGGCCTGGCTGATGGCCTTGGCGCAGGCCGCGTCCAGCGCGTGGGCGACGCCCGGCAGCAGGCTGGCGACCCCGCAGGCCAGGAGGGTGCGGGTGAGTGGACGAAGGCAGGAGGTCATGGTGTGTCCTTGCAGTGACGGTGAGAGAACCTCAGCGCCAACGTGGCCTGGGGTCAAAGCCGGACATGTCCGGATCGCCGGCCCGGCTGCGTTGGCCCGGGGGAGTCGCCGTCGCTCAGCCACTCAACACCCAGGTCACACCATGCCCGAGACCGGCCCGGCGCAGACCGACGCGCCCTGAGGCCCCGCCCGGCTTTTGCCAAGGACCCGACGATGCCCCGCCGCCCTCACCTTCCCGACTGCTCGGCCCTGCTCAGCCTTCTGCTGGCCGTGCCGCACACGAGCCACGCGCAACTGCCGCCTGCGGCGCCGCAGGCTTCAGCGCCCATCAACTGGGGGCGTGG